CCCCAAAACCCCAAAACCCCAAAACCCCAAAACCCCTAAATGATGAAATACAATTGAAGATAATATTTCTATATTTATACAGGTTATGGATTTACGCACAACCGTCAGTAATCTTCAAGCGCTAGCAAAGGAAGAACAAGATACATCTCAGAAGAACCCAGTGCTTCAAACTTATGTCATGCAAAACAAAAAGTTTTCAAAGACAATTCGTGATGTAGAACGTTTGAAATAAGCAATATGATTCTCAAAGTGCTCTTATCGCTAACCAGCAGAGAATGATAAACGAATGAATGACACTGGCAGCGTATAAAACGCACTGAAATCTCTTTGAGAGGGAATTTGAAACTAAAGTCAAGGCGATGATGGATACCTTTAGAGGTCAAGTTCTGAAGGAAATTCCAGACCCTAAAGACATAAAAGTTCTAGGTAAACCTCTTGAAGAATACTTCACCCAATACAACAGTATTTCTGAATATGTCAACCGAGCTCGCTTAGACATATACGACCTAAAAAAGCAGATGAAGTTCAAAGCTGATGAGAAGGAACAGGTTCCTTCTGCATCAGAGCTTGAACTTCTCAGGCTCGGAGAAATCAAAGCTGATAAATCAGAGATAGAAGGTTTACGCCAAGAAATCGACAGGATAGAACATATGCTAGTAGACCTTGACGAAGGCTATGATGACTCTTATGACGAGTATGATGACGAAGATAGCCAAATAGAAGATGTCATCTCACTTGATGAAGCCTGACTGTCTAATCATAATAAGAATGATGAAGATGATGAAGAAATGTTTGATGAATCTGTTCATTCAAATGATCAGGACAAGGCAATTGTAGAGAAAGCTAAAAATTTGGCTAACAAAACTATGCCTCTAGGAACAAATTTTGAACCCTCCTCTAAGCTAGGAGAAAAAGACAAAGACGAGGAAAAAGATGATAACCAAGAAAAGGAAACAGCACATAAAATCAAAATCGACTTAGCCCTAGAAGAAGAGAAAAAGCAACCTCCAAGGAAACAGAGTGAGATGATGAAAGAAAAATCTCCATTGCATAAACAAGAAGGAAAGAAGTCTGATCCCTCGAATGCTTTTGATTGAGCAGAGACAAATCATAGTCTTGGTCATACTGTCAGTAATTTCAGAAAGCAATCTGCTAGGAAGGATAAAAATAAAAGCCAGGCAACTATGAAATCCCGAGGAGGCAGTAGATTAAACAGAGGAGCTAGCAAACTCTCAATAGCTACTCGTAGAATGAGAGGAGGCAGAAGAGGAAACCCTCGTGAAACCAATGAATTGAAGCTAAACATCAAGAAGCTTCAAGAGGAAGTCTATAGACTCACTAAGTTCGAGAATGAGTCTACCAGCACTTTCCGAAAGTTTGAGAATACTCTGGTTGATCTTAAAAAGAAGAACGATCTGTTTGTCAGCCAACATCAAAAGATTCTGAAGAAGCAAGAAGAAATGGAAAGCCAACATTCTTCAGCACTCAATAATATTGAGAAGGAAACTCTTAAGGTCATCAAGATACATAGGGATATCAAGAAGCTCATTTCGGATTTTAAGGCCGAATACAGATATGGGTTTAAGAAAATAATCAAAGCCGAGGTTGACATAAATTTCTTACTCCAACAACTCAAGTTTATTAAGACCAAGATCAAGCCAAAGGACGAAGAGAAGATAGATAAGGACAAATTACTTGGAGAAATTGATGGGAAATTTGAGTTACTCTACAGCCAAGTGCACGATATGGCAACTGAACAAGCTCAATTTAACTCTAACTTAAAGAAAGAGCAAGAGAACTTAAAGGAGCCGATCAAAAATGAAATTAGCAAAATTCGTGAAGAGAGTAACATTATGATGAGAGAATTAGAGAGGACTCAGAATAACAACCGTGAGATGCTTTCATCAAGGCTGAATATGAGCATGAACTTGGATATTCCAAGCAAAATGCTGACTAAGAGGAAATTTAGGCATTCGACTCCAATAAATCATACTAGCGCTTCGATGAAGCTCAAGAAGTTCAATGAATCTGTACAGAAGCGACTAGATAACGACTTATTTAATTTGAATAAGCCAAACGGTACTTTTAACAGTAAGATTATTTTATTGATGTTTTAGGTAAAAGAGGTAATTCTATTCGTTTGGCGAGTTTTGCACCAAACCTGAAAATAGTCCAAGATAGCTCTGATGTAGATAAAAGACTTCAAAAATTGGAGAAGGAGAGAAGAAAGATCGGCACTACCTTAAGCACTCCTAAATACAATAGGTTTAGGTCTTCTCAAGTCTAATTATTTATATCAGTATTTTCAGAATCTTCTTACTTACATTAGGGTTAATATTTTATCAATTTTAGCCCTAATAACCATCAAGTTTCTTTACTCAACTATAATCAGCACAAGCCAGTATTCCGGCAAGTGTTAATAGGAAAATTTAACTAGAAGGTCGCCAAGGGGTTGGTCCTAAATAATGAATCTGAAAAATGGTCAGATTCTAAAATTTAACAAGTGCCAGTATATCAATCCTCAACAGGATCACCAAAATCAATCTGGGCTGAAATCTTGTGCAAAATTTCTTAGTAAAATTTAGCGTTATCACCCTGCTTATAAATATACTTAGCTGTATTAATCAAAATACTTAAGGCTAGGACTTCGCTTTCCATATTCTTCCAGCTAGACATCTACCTTTCATCTTTAAATTTAATAGAGAAAGTTTTAAGCCAGCACCAAAAAGGGATTTTTTAGTGAAGAAAAAGGAGAAACTCCATAAGCTAAGAGTTTTGGGCTATGTAGAATATAGTCAAGATCTTTTGGGAACGAAGCCGTTTCAATAGGAATACAAATTAGGTTTTGACATATTGGGTGTACTTTTAATGCCAAATTCAATATAATATTCATGACGAGGGGTTTTGGGGTTTTGGGGTTTTGGGGG